TTCAAAACAGCCATTAGATAATGGTCCCAGAAGATAGGAAAGAAACTCTTCTCAATCCCCTGTGGAGTTTCAATATTTTCCTCCAATTTCATAGCACAGGAGCTTCTCCAGGGAATGCCTTCACAATGCTGAGGGGGACAGAAATTATTACAGGGGGGGTCATGTGCAAGGGGAGGCTCCAAAACAAGCAAAGAGGGACAAATGGAACACTGCCAAAAGTTCAGAAAATTGCAGTACTGTAATGACAGTCTTTTGAGGCCAGGAGGGAAAAAAGATAAAGGAAAAAAAATCTCTTCATCAGAAGAGAGACATCAAATTAAATTATTGAAATTAATAGCCTGTGAATTTTGCCACGTCCAATACCTTGGGAATCTCTGGGGAAAACACTTTAAAACCCATCTAAAACTTAGCACAAATCCTACAGGAGGTGAAGAGTTAGGGAAGTGCAGAAATTGCCTTCTTTTCATTTTCTGGAGGTACCCTGTGGAATCTGAAGGGACCGTAGTCTGTATTCAATAGGACTTCCCAGTAAATGTAATAAACCAAATCATTCTTCCATCAGTTGTTTCTTTTGAGCAGTCTTCCCAAGACAGTGCTCTGTGCACAGGGGGTTTTCTGTAATAATTACTCCTGGGAACCCAGTGGAATAAGTGGTAATTACACTATCTAAACACAGAAATAGATCCTTGTGTCATTGGTTCCAGAACTAATAGGAAAGCTTACTCCAAATTTCTAAGGGTTTTTTAATATTCATAATCTTCCAGCACTGCAAGATTGAAGATACACACAGGGTTGCACAGACTTTCTTGCTCTGCAGTTTATAAGAGCCACCTGTCTCATAACTGGTATAATAAACAGTTGCTGTACCCTTGGGTTCCTTTCCTCAGCTACAGAGCAGGGCCAACAGATGTTCTGCAAAATGAAGTCCTCCATGATTATGGATTTCTCAAAGGCCATAATACCAGCCCACCCCCGAGAGAATGAGTCAGTCAAGCAAGCTCGAATACTATTCCTATTTCCTACCAGGACAAATGGAAATCATAGCACAGTAAACCATGCCCCCAAATGGAGGCAAAGAACCAGATGCAAAAGTATCAGAAGGAATTGATACCTGTAACATGATGGTCTGAGAGGTCATATGTAGTGTACCAAGGGAAAAAACAGTTCTGTTGGACAAAAGGCCCACCTTCACCACCAGGTACTTTTGCCAAGCTACAGAGTCTCAGGAAGGATGAAAATGGTGAAAAAAGCTAAAAGGCAAACAGGTTTTGGAGACAGTGTGTACTATTTGTACTATTATACTAGAAGGTCTCCTCAGAATCAGTTCACAATATTCTAGTCCTTCACAATTATGTACTAACTTTCACTTCAGAAAAATTCTTCATCTCATCAGAGCAACTTGCTGAATCAAAGATTCTAAATTTCTTTTTTATGCCTTGGACCAAGGCACCAAATATAAACCCTCTGTCTACTCAGTCTCTAAATATAGCCAAGAATTAAGATATTCCTGCTTCTGCATCCTAAATAATCTAATGGAATCAATTACTGTTTTGCGTAGATGACATCTGGTATTTGCAAATAAAACATGAAACACGAAATCCAACGAAAATAAGCATGAAACTAAAGTTTCCACCCATCCAACTACATCCTCAGTAAATGTAATAGTTTTGCATCACAGGGTGGGTTTTTCATATTTCTTATAGACTTCGGTTTAAAGCTCTCTGAGAGAAAGTAACCCAAACAGCAGAACAGGGCTGATGACTTTGACTTCAGCCACTGATTATGCCACTGAACATGTCAAGTATTCACTGAGAACACTGTCCATTGCTTGGAGTTTCAGCCTCATGTTTTTATTGAGTGGAGCACCAGTCCTGCCAAGCAAAATCATTTTCTTTGTACCATGAGACACAGCAAGGTTCAGAGTGAACACCAATGTCAGCTGTGGAAAGGAGAGAATCTGAAATGGATTAAATACAACTTTTTCCCACTGTGCCAGTAAAATCTTTCCCCATGATATTTGGAAGCTAAGGATAGTCCCACTATATAATATCCATGTTCACAACCCATTTCAAAATATATCCTATTGTGGCACTTTGCTGGAATTGCAATTAATGCTTTATTGGGCTAGGGCCAGAATGTACATACTTGGATGTACATACAGGATTTGGGGATGTTGCTAGCTCTGTCTTCCTTCCTTCCTTCCTTAGGAAAAAAATTCTTTACTGTGAGAGTGGTGAGGTGCTGGAAAAGGTTGCCAAGGAAGTTGTGGGCGCCCCATCCCTGGCAGTGTTCAAGGCCATGTTGGATGGGGCAACTGGGTACAGCAGAAGGTGCCCCTGCTCATGGCAGGGGGACTGGAACCAGATGATCTTTCAAGTCCCTTCCAACCCAGGCCATTCTATGATTCTGATTCTATGATTCTTTTCTTTCTTTTATCTGTTCCTTTTTTTATTTTTTTTTTCATTTTTTTCAAATACAGACTAAATAGATAAATATAACTTTACCTGCAATCAAGGACTGCCTTCTTCCTTCACCAAATAATGCATGGCCAGAAAAGGGATGAGTTATGTGCTTCCCCATATTCCAGAGCTGTTAGAACATAGCAAAACAGACAGCTCTGCCCTAAAGACTGCCTAGACTGGCTCTGAGCAACCTTGGAGGAAGCCATTTCTCCTGAAATGCTCTACAATGGAGAATCATATTTCCCTCACAGTTCTGTGCCCTGCCAGACTTGCAAACCTCTGAAACAGCTGGCCATGGTAGTTCATACCAAAAAGATGAATGCTGGAGAGTTTTCAGTAGCTGAGGTTTCTGGGCAGGATTAAGGTGTGAACCATTCCTGTGAAACCCCACTTCTGACTGTCCCTCTCTGCCATATTCTGTGTGATGGGAACTGTAGCTGCAGATTTTACCTTTCTGCAGCTGCGTAATTCCCACCGATTTCACCGGCACTTACTGACAGTGGGAGCAGGAATGGAAGAAAGTGGTTCCCCCATTCTCCTTGCCTGCCTGATGTTCAGTTTTCTCCCCTGCTCTATCCAAGTGCTCACATCTTCCTGAGGTAAATGAGAAAGTCACTTGAAGCAAGTTGAACCTATTTTTTTTTTTCTTTTCCCTCCTGATTAAATTTCCACTGTGCCTATTCTTTTCTCAAATTCACCAGGTACCTGTACAAATGCTGCTGCCAACACAGAGAAGGGGTCCAGCTCAGGTGAGGGAATGAGTGACTGTGAGAAGGAGAAAAGGGAGAGGGATATTTATTTTAGTGGCAGCAGCATCTTGTGGTGTGGTAAAGCTTTTCTGAAACTATGGCAAAGTCACCACATCATGTTTGAATGGATAACCTTCATCCTATCCCCTTTATTTATAGTGCCACATATTCTAGTCATAGTACATTTTTTTTTATATATATAGCTAAAATGCTGAAAAAAATGCTTGGATTCTGGTATGCAGGTGGAATGAATGGGATTACAGCCCAACAAATGCCTAAATATGGTAACTTACTGGTTTCTGAAACCTTTAAATTTTGTTGCGTTTTTTTTTTATTGTACAAATATTTCTAGAGTCACTATCTTACTTAAAAGAAACAAACGTTCCGTTTCAAAATATCTGGCTTTAATTCATTTAACCAAAGTCATTGCACTTGCTGAAAAAAAATACCAATTCACAGCATGACACAGATATCTATAAAATAATTTAACTGCATCATGCACAGTCAGCAGAAGTTCTGCACTGAAATTTGGAGAAAGAGACTTTATACTGTCACTTACTCCCTGAGCTACATATTATGCTTCAAAAATTTTCCTTCCTCCATATCTATTGAAAAAATATTATCCAGTTACACCTTGTTAACATCTGAGGTTTGCATTTGACATAAAAAGGTGTATGTTTTGTTTGCATGTCATTTTAATTTTCAAGAGCAGCTATAAACCATAAGTAATATCAATAGCATAAGCAGGTGCACCTACCAGTGATAGTTAGATGGCTCTTCATTGTTTTATTTTACCAAACACTTCAAAAATTACTTGATTCTACTCAGTGATAGCATACATGGAAAAGGTAGCTATGCAAGAAGCCAGAATAACAATCAACCTTGAGTTTTGGAGCATGAGTTTGAGTTCTGAAGCTCAGTATCCTTGCTGTGTGTGGTTGTGTGTAAGCTGTCTAGGACACTATTACAGAATAGAAAGCTCAGGAGTTTTAGCAACCATGTAAATGAAACACGTAAAACCATGTAAACTCTCACAGCTGCTGCTTGAGTGCATGTAGAAGAAGTGGCATGTCTCTTGTTTGTCTGTGCATGGTGTACCCAGGTGGCAAATCAATCAGACTTTGCCTTTCCCCAGCGCTCCTGGTTGTAGCAGAATGCCCTGGGAATGTGGAGCACCGTGTATGCTGCTCACAAAAGGTCATCTCTATCCACTTCTGTTTTAAACCAAGCTCCTCCCTACAGTAATCTCTTAGTACTTTTTCAAAGGCAAAAGTACTAAATTTCACTCAAATTTATATGTTTGTATTGGCCATTAATCTGGGAAACTTATAGTTGTTTTACAAAGATGTGAGCCATTAGAGGGACCCTGACATCTAACTCTTCCTAAATAATATAACTTAGCAGTAAATGTTTAACTTTTTTTGAAGACTACATAATGCATGGTATACTACTTCCAGCTGCATATTTTAAGTCACTGGGAGGAAAAAAATCTTGGCCTAATAAAACCTAGGAAAAATTGGCAATGAGCAAAGATCTGTGACCAGAAATTAGTCTCAAAGGTGGGGAAGTATTTTATAAATACTAACTAATTATCCATTATATTTAACAAGAATAACTCTTAAATAGCAAGCCTCTCAGTTAGGACACATAAAAATCTTGGCCCTTAACAGACAGCTGCCCTTGATATAATATCACTTACATCAATTTCATTGGTCCAGCATAGACTAAAGTCAAAAAGTAAAAAAAGTCAGTATCCAATTAATGTTTAAGGTGAATAACCATCCTGCCATATTTTTAGCTGCATATTTTGTATAACAGAAACAACTGTGATAGTCCTATGGTAAGGAACAAAGCAGTCTCTTCCAAGTGTTACAAAAGCAGTATGGCTTTTAATCAACTGATAATAACTGATAATAAACAGCTCTTTGAGTCCAGCCAAAGATGGGGTGTGATTCAGCGGTGCAGGAGCGTGAACGTGTCACTGAGATGTGGTCTTCTGGAAACTGCTTTTAACACAAGGGAACTATTTCTTGGCTGGCTCCATTGATGGTCACGTGCTTTTGTTGCCATGAGCTGTGAGAACATTGCTGTAGAAATGTGATTGTGATTTATGACTGTCTGTAGTAATTCTGTACATCTCTTATGTCTGTGTTCTTATAGCCACTTGGGCACTGAAGTAGCTGAAATGAGAAAGAGGCAGCAGTCACAAAATGAAGGAACATCAGCTGTGTCTCAAGCACCTGGAAACCAAAGGCCCAACAACACATGTTGCTTTTGTTGGTGCTGTTGCTGCAGCTGTTCATGGTATGTCCTGTAGTATATTTGCTTCCATATACACCACAGGTAAACTATGAGAATGGAAAGCACTGGGAACATGTTAACTTCTGGGAGAGGAGACACAATTTAACTTTACATTTAAAAATTTGATTTAAATCAAATCAACCTGATTTGGTTGGACATTTTGTGATGGAGAAGAAGAAAGAATAGTAAATTCAAGCTATATTTATCTTATTAAGCCATAATTAAATGAGGAAATTTCAGCTGTAAAACTTGTATTTGTGAGTGAGAGACTCAGTAATGAATATTTTATAGTTTGCATACAAAACATTTTTTTATGCTCGTACTTTTGATACAGCAGTTCTCTGCATTCAGGTGAAAAACAGGGAGATGGTCATAAATGTAAATAGGTGGTGGCCTGTTACATTACTAATATAAATTCTGTAAATCTGAAAATTTGAGCCTTAAATTCCACTTTATCTCTCAAATGGAGTAGAATGATTTTAGTGGCTGCTTGTCCCTTCCTCAACAAAGAGTTCACTTGTAAAGTCAAAGATTTAAAGTCAGTTTCCGAAATAGCTTTAAATTCTCAGTGTCTTGAGATGCATCAGATCTTTATTTCTTATTTTTATGAAAACAGTATTGAAATATAAGGTAAATGACATGCAGCACTGTTCAGAGCCTGTGCATCGTATTAACCAGACAGTTCAGCTTCTTTGGAGTGTCCATTTCTCTGTATATATGTGTTATTTTCACTTCAATCAGCCATCTGGCCCCAGTCTAAAATCTGAGGCTATTTTCTTCAGTATATTTAAAAATACATAGCAGCATATATGCACCAGGTACCAAATGGGACAGGTTTTTTTTCAAGATACTGCCACATCCTGGAGGCAGTAGCAGGGTGGACCTGCCTTGGCTGTTACTTCCAGTTTCACCTGAAGGCAGAGTATTGCTGGAGCAAGAAGGAGCCAGAGCTCATGTTTTACCAAGTTACTTTTATATGTTCAATCCATATTGAGAAATAGGTGGAAGTGTATTAAATAGGAAGTAAAGTGAGGGTGTTTTGTCACTTTTCTTTCTGCTGTGGGACAAGGGCACAATACCAGCTGTACTGTTACAGGCCAGAGGTTCATTTACCTTGGTATCCTGTTTCAGGAAGATATTTCACCTTTATCAAATACCACAAGATAAGGATTAAACAAGTAGATATGCACCTCCTCAAACTACCTACTCAAAAAACCTCACAACTATTTTCAATCTGCAACTTAGGTTTTCCTGTCCCAGGGCTCCTTTCTCTGTGGTTTATAAACCTTGGTGGAATTTTCTTTCCTCAATTTGTTAAACCATTTTCTGAAGTGACTTCCTGAACTAAACTAAACTTTTGGCATCCAGGGTTCCCTCTAGCAATAAATTCTACAGTAGGCCTGTGCATTCCATGAAGTATTACTCCCTTTAATTTGTGTTAACCTACTAGAAACTAATTTCATTTGAAATTTAAATTTCCTTATTCTTATGTGAAGAACAGTGAATAATCATTTCCAGGGTGGTCAAGATTTTACAGAGCTCTCTCCCTTCAGCTGTTTTTTCTTCCTCAGCCTTCTCTATCTTAATCTCTGTGATACAGAGTGACCCAGACCATGATTTATCCTTATCTGTCCTATTTACTCACCTACCTTGTGTCTATGTCCCTTTCCTATTCTATTTCCTGTCTGAGATGTGTCACTAGATCTGTTTTTGTGGTTGAGACATGGGTGCACCATGTTTTGTGTTTGCTCTTGAGTTTTGTTACTAATTCCTAGCACTCTGCTTATTTTTTAACAACCCCAGAGATGATGTTTTCATGGAATTATCCACCCTGAATACAACATCTCTTTCCTGAATGAAAATAAAGCCCATCATTGTGCATGTACAGCTAGGGTTGGTTTTTGCCTTGCATACAAGAATATGATTAATAGTCATATAATAGCAATAGTATTCATATAATAGCAATAGTATTCAATAAAATATCAGTCTAATTCCTAAAACTTAATGACAACTGATTTAATTTTTTAAGCATGATGCAACTCAAGAAATCTTAAAGTTGAAAATGGTACTCTGTTTCGAAGCTCTTGTGACCCTTGCAGTCACAGAAGTCACATTGAAGGCAATACCATTATATATGTAAACAGCTTACGCATATTAAATCTAAATTGGAGTAATTATTGATTTAAAACACTGAAGGATGTACCTTCAGCTCTTCTAGTAATTGTTTTTACTTTCTTTCAGGGTTTTTCAGGACTTGAGGTTGGGATTTTTTTTGAAAAGTAGATTAGACAGGGTATGGAGAAATCCTGTTAGCTAGTTTTCAAAATTAAGTCAAATAAGTGATCAAAGGAATACTTACATCACTCATGTTTGCTAAAATCAAAAGACATAAAAATGATCTAGTAAGTATTTTCCAGCTTTAACTTCTATGATCCTGTAGTAGAAGCTCCGTTAGAGGAAAGATGGAAAAAAACTTTGAAAAATGCAGTATGAAATGTTTCAGAATCTCAGTTTAAATGAAGTAATTGATTGTGATGACAAATTTGCTTTGTAATCAAAACTGTCGGGGAAGAATACAGGTTACTGTATTCTTGCCTCAGTTGTCTACACTAAAAAATTACAAAAATAATAATAATTTTTAAAAAGTAACTAACTTTATTAGTCTCTCATATATAGAGGATTCTAGCTAATTAATTCTCTAGGGTAGTTCTCTGTAATAGAAAATCCTAATCAATAATTGTAACAGGTTCTCTGGACTTAGAGTAATTACATGCTTTCCCTAGTTCCACAGGTCTTTGTAACTGAGTAACATGAATTTCCCAAGAGATACCTGTCTGGAAATGCTGCTGGATTCATTAATGGGGAAGGCAATGTTCTATCAAGATCAGAATTTTCTTCAGTTCTTCTACCTGTGTGTGACTGATGATAGCTCTTACATCATTAACTGCTTATTGACTCAACTTCTTCACCATTCACAGAAATGGGAGGACTATGTGCAGATTTTAGTAAAAAAAATTCCCTTTTTACGGTTCAAAGAGTTAGTTCAATAGTTCTCATATCCAAATAAATCATTAGAATTCTGAAAATATCTTTTGTGCATCATGAGGTGCTTGTTTTCTTCTGTTCTACCTCATGTTAAAATCAGAATAGGCATTAAGTCTTCTGTTTGCACAACAGCACAGGAAAATATTCAGACCTTTGGGGAAATAGTATCTTGCCTAATAGAGACTTGTTAACAGCAAAAAAATTGAGAAATTATTCGGTACATCTTATTAAGAACCTCTTTTATTTGTTTTTCTCTAATATTTTTTTTCTTAAAAATAATAACTATTTGGAGGACTTCTTTATTGTTGTGGGATAATCCCTGTAGGTAGCTCAGCCCCAAGCAGATGCTTACTCACTCCTCACCAACAGGATGGAGAAAATAATCAGAAAAGTGAAAGCGACAAAACTCTTTCATTGACATAAAGAGTTTAATTGATAAAGCAAAGCTGTGTGCACAACTAAAGCAAAACAAAAAATCCATTCATGGCTTCCCATCAGTTCAGCCATGTCCTGGAAAGCCATGGTCCATCACATGTTAGAGTGACTTGGGAAAACAGATGCTACAGCTCTCAACCTCCATCCTTCCTTTTTCTTATGCAGCTTTTATTGCTGATCACAATCATCATACAGTATGGAATATCCCTTTAGTCAGTTGTGGCCAGCTGTCCCAGCTGTGTCCCCTCACAGCTTCTTATGCACTCCCAGCCAGCCCACTGACAAGGCAATGGGAGAAACAGAGAAATCCTTGATGCTGTGCAGTGACTGCTCATCAGCAGCTATAGCATTAATGTGTTATCAACACTGTTTTGGTCAAAAATCCAAAACCTAGTGCCATAAGGATTCCTGTGAAGAGAATTAACTCCATCGCAGCCAGGCTCAGTACATCTTTTGGCACTGATAATGATTGGGACAGTAAATTGCTCAGTTTACAGGGATAAAGCAAGACTAACTACAAATGTTTGCTCAGATTGAAAATGAAAGGAGATTAACAAGACTATTAAAATGGCTATTTTATTCTAATAGGTATGCTCGTGACGTTGCCAACTAGTTTAAGCTCTGAACTTGTTTCTGAGTACAAGTAGTGAAGGAAACACTAGTTCTCCTCTGCAGAAAAAAATAAAGTACTTCTGAAGTTCCCAACAGGAAACACTTGTTGGCTTGTTTCCTGTTCCCAACAGGAAACACAGCAGAAGCAGATGATACATCCCTGTGAAGACCTTCTATAGACCTTCCTCTCTTCACTGACCAGAAATAGACCTTAGGCACTCATTGCACAAAGACTGCCCAATTAAAGTACCATGTAGCTGTGGTTCTTGACTGAATCATCATGTGTCAAGCTTCTGCAAAGCTCCATTTCAATAGAGGACAGAAGAATGTGCTTCCTTACAAGATGTAATTTCAATGACTTGGGTAGCCTGAGACTTGAAAAATTTGCAGTAAGTCTTCTAACATGACAGTCCATAATTTCCTCAATTATGCTTTCTCCAGAGAGTTGCCCATTTAGTACTTAGAGCTGTGACTTTATATAGTTTTGAGCTCAGTTTGGCAAGGTTAGAGGAGTAAGCCTGCTATTTCACTTCCCCAACCTTGTTTAGCAATCCATTACTCCAGCTTCCTGAGCAGACATGAAACTTGTTTTTCTCTTGAAAATACTTTTAAATTACATTCTTCAAAAAAACCCTTCAGGCACTATCACAGGGAGTTTGGCTTTTCTGCCAGTTTTATTTTGCTTCCTCCTTTGTCTCCTACCCAGAGCAGGAGTCATATCTTTTAATCCCCTCTTCCTTTCATAAGGTGCTCAGTGAATTTGAAAACTGTGGGACACTCTGATGCCCGATAATCTGTCTCCTTTTACTGTACACAGAAAGCTCAGAAGGGATCTGACATCTACCCTGCAAGAGACCTTTAGCAGTATGTCAGTCTGGGGTACATGAAAAGGTTTCCAGGGGATAAGTGAA